TAACATCAATTATTTTCTAATTACTTCAATCATTTTCTCATTGAAAATCATTGAGACCTCACTTATGCATAATAAAGATCCATTATTAATGGTACAGATTTGATCTCAACAAGCTCAAGACCTTGTCAAGTTGGATGGTACTACTAGTGAAGCTGAAGGCAAATATGATCCCTCACCACAATCACATTCTTTCAGCAAAACAGTGTGATTGAAGCAGTCATCATACCAACTTGGTGTTTACATTAGCTACAAAGTTTACATTATAAGCATAATTTGCATATGACTAGAAAAACACTGTTTTATTAGGGAGTAATTTAAGGGGTTTTCATCGGATTTGCTGATTTAAGGCCTCACCAAGACAAACTGAAATTCAAGACCTTTTTGAGGAAACATAAATGATGCTGTACTGAACACATCTACATACCAGCTAAATCTGATGCCTTTCAAAAAAGAAATAACAAGAGGTCAATCTATCTTGAAAAAGTAGGTAGAACTCATTTTTCTTGTTGAGGAAACAACTATTTTGTCTTGTGTAAAGCCAGATATACTTTGACTACCGGTAAATGTACAGAATACAGGTAAATGAACTGTGTTCAATGGCCTGAAGACAAGTAAGGCCTGAACTATTCATCTTGAAAGTAGTGGATAAACCCACATAGTATTCATCAGGACTTCATTTACACTGGAATTATTTATGCTTTGCAGCACCTTCATACTTGTCTCTATATGACACAGGCAGTGCACCATCTTCAGGGCCGAGTGGACTGGATACCAGGGCCTCCTTTCAGAAATCTCTAGGGTGATCATAACCTAAGTGCAATGTTAAACAATGGGAGTTAAGGTTAACCTTAGTAAAGGTTGCTTCGTGAAAGGAGCCTCTGGTCTCCATGTTGTCGGCTACACTGCCAAAGTTTCATAATTATGTTCTGGCACTGTCACTGGGTCGGGTGTGTCTGCAATATAGGCTTGGAATAAACAAATCAAGTCTTCACCATACTAACAACCTGCCCCAATAACAATCCCCTTACCAATATCTTCTTCACCAATCAGTTAGCAGTCATTCTGAGGACCCTGTCGTGAGCCCCCAACCGACATGTGGTATGGGGCAGATCTCAATGACCAGCAGACAACTACAAACGGAACTTAAGACAAACCCCTTTCTGAATTTTCCAAGCACCGGGACACATACTGCAGACATATAGGTTATCACGCGAGTGTGTTTTGGGATGGCTAATATCCTGCATTAGGAATAATCATTGTCTTTAGCAAGCCTTGGCAAGCTAAATACATTGTGTTTATTCCTAATGTAGGATATTAACCATCCCAAAACACACGAGTGTGATAACCTATTTATCATACAATGTGATTCTTGCTTTGTAATTTTTAAAAATGCGATTTCAAATACCACAAATCATGAATCTAAACTTGTGGAATGTCTATGACGTCACAAATATGTGTGTGGTAATACGCTACGTCACAAGCCCGGTGACATAACTTTCTCCTGATCACTCACCTGACTGCCTTAGGTCATCTAGTTCCCAATCGATTTTTATGTTAAAGCACGTATTGTTGTCAACAAATCTTAGCTTACGTTTGAAAAATAACAACAAACTCGCGTGGAATTCAGAAACCTTCAATTAACCTTTTGAACAACAAATACACATTTATGTTCGCGTGAGATTGTGCACCTGGATTCCTGTGCCGTTCTCTCGCTAACACTGACAGTTGGTCGAGGAACTGATGTTGGTTTCTTCATAAGCCTATGAATTTCTATCTTCGCTTTGTAATTGATTCCATCTATCATCTATCACTGTCAGTACCGTAACCATGGCCGTCAATCCGGTCACTACCGCCGACCCTTGATGCCATGTTTGTTTACGCTGTGAAAGTAGTCCCCAGAATTTGCATGATTTCTCTAATTTGCATTGATATCCGTATATGACCCCAACGGATACCGAAAATATCCGTTGGCTTTATCCTGTCGAGAACACTATCCATTTATGATAAAGCATGTTATTGTATTTGTCCTATTGACAGCCCTGACCAATCTGGAAGCAATCTGTATGAGAGCCCACACAAGCTGAAAGGACAGTCCATATTTTCTACACAATAAATGTGGCAGAAGAGATTTCTATAGTGATATCAATGAAGGTGTCAGTCAATATTACTAAAACATGTAAAGTTGATTTATCATTACAATGGAAAGGTGTAAAAGTAGAACCATAGATTTAGTCTCTGTCACTATTAGCATTAAGTCCACAGCTTTCTTGTTCAAACCTTCATTTTGGTTTACAAGCATGGGACAAAACCGTTGTATTCTACCGCGTTTGAGAATAGTGTTAAAGAAATCATAAGAATGGTGCTGTATTTATTCACACCAAGGAGTTCTCTGGGCTTTCTCCAGGAACGTGGAAGTTGCCTGTATTTACGTCAATTCCAGAAGAGTCCTGTGTAAAATACATGACCGTCAAAATGTGTCATCTTATCAACATGAGTTCATGTGATAGTGCGCTTGTCCAGTAGATAGGCCCTGCACATCATGTAAAACCATCAACTGCTCATAAAGCTACCATGAACATGTTGACAATATAGTCTAACTGCTTAGGCTCATTATTAAAGCTACTAGTTCTTTATGTCTTAGCTTTGTTGTTTTAGATTGTTTGTGTTATAAGTTCAGGTTTGTTGACCTTCAAACGACAACAGTATCTCTGTAATTCAAGGTTTTTTTCATGGATTTTGTTGTGTTTTTATCTTCTTGTTATTCAAAATGCAGTTTCAATGATACTTTTTCTAAAGTACTGTCAGAAATAGAATATAACTGTTTTTAGGCTGTTACTCTGTATCCCTAAAATTTACACAATTGCAAATAGCATATGTCGAAATAACCCACATCGGTCTGACTGGGCGTTCAGTGGGATGCGTAATAGGATATCCAGAAAAGCATGTTTACTCGTAAAATCGGGCAAAACTTAGAAAAAATACCACTAACTGTCTGACTGAGTTTAGTTTTACGCCGCTTTTAGCAATATAGAAAAAATACAAATAGCTGCTGAAAATAATAGATCAGACTATAGATGGCAATTAGGTCGCTCAGCCAGGTATGACGACGGACCATCGACTCAGGCACAAGGGGTCATCTCAAAGATATTTGATGCCTTTTCTTGTGTGTTGAATATGTCGCATCTAATGTTTAACAGCTGACGTGTATTTCTTTCATAAAGTTTATGTTCAGATATGTAAAAGAGTATGATACCCGTAGAAAAGCATAATCAGTCATCGTATTAAATGTCTCAAAATATATAGGTGGCATGACCACCTGAAGATCGACAGGACCGGATATTATTTGTCAATTGTTATGGCATGCCATTTACTTTCCCAGTTTAATTCCCCTGAATGATTATCTTATCTTAGCTGATATCTCTATACCCCAGCCCGACCCCAAACCACCGTCTCCGACATCCGTCCTTGTATTGCTTTTGAGATGACCCCTCCTATCTGTTTCTTTTTATAGTGATAGTGAGACTTCATGGTAGCTACATCCTTAATAGTTTCAGTATTAAAGTTACTAGTATTATTTTTTTACGTTAGCTAGTGTTTATAGTCTAATTTCAAAATGGGTATTTAAAAAGTGTCCTTTGTAATACAATATAATCGCCCTCTAATTTGCATAAAGCCTTGGTCTGTTCCAAATAAGTTGGTTTGGACTTAGAAAAAAACGCATTGCTCATTTCTGCACTAATCTCTCCTGAGCAAAGTCCAATTTTTACGTTTCCATCTCCCTACCACTGAGACTATAGTTAGGCCGAACTTAGTTTAACAAATATTTCACACTTTCACATATTATCTACATAAATTGTAGATGTAAATGTGAAATAACAGTTTTTTTCTATTTCCGACAGTACTTTAGTTTATCTCCTTGTGTTTTATCTGGGACTGTGTGCATGACACCAAAACATCCAAGAACTATGGGTACAAAAGCTTACATCCAAATGATCTATACATGAACCATAATGACACACATTATAATGACCACATTTCCTCACCAGGGAACATAATGAACCATAAAGTCTGCCCTGAGGCAAACAACTAATCCCTATATAAGCATGGAGTAAATGACAGTTTGTGAGTACAAGGCATATATGGGCAGCATTCAATGACCAGTAATTCACAGCACATAATCAATACTTCCTCCACCACCTGTGGACAGATATGACTCTTGTTAGTGTACTAATGATATTTATCTCACCTTCATGTCAAAATATTCAGATCGCATTGGTTCGCGTGGTATGGACTACCACGTGGTATACTATGTATCCTGCCTTGGAGGGAAAAAATGGTGCTGTGAGAGATCATTTTATTTTATATGTCCTGTTTAAGGTTCAGGCACAGCAAAACCCACATGAAGCCAGAGTGATACTACTGCAAGTTCTCTTGTCTGTCTTTTGTTAGGCAAGGAAAGAAATGTGGCTGTGTTTAGCTCACAGAAGTAAGATGAGACCTAACATTGCACTAACATTGTGTGTTGACCCAAACATGTTGCCAGGACGATATTGCTTAGTGCTCTGAACAATCACAGTTCTACAAGGACTTGGTTTCTTGAAGAGGCTGTAGGTATTTTGGGGTAACGGAGTAACTGGTCATTTAGTGCATACAAACTAAAAAAATATGAGGTCATTTTAATTCTAAATAATGTGCAGGTGCACTAGCCCTGACTAGTGACAGTTACAGTCAAAACACACTGAGATACCACACTGCAGGGTAACATCTTAATACCCTAATGAGATACAGTACACTCACTCTATCAGTACTGGGTTACTGCCCTAAATACTGAATGCAAGGCAAAGTACCAACTAATACCATCTTTGAGAAAACAACTTATCCCATCTTTTAAAGTCTTTTGGAATAATACATCTGAGATAGAGCCACTGACTGGACATACATGAGAATTAGGTGGTGGTTTATTAGAATTTGTCAACACTGTCGATCACGGGTCTACTTACGACTGTGGTGCTCCTCCTATGCCAAAACCAACCAGACCCCTCAGTATGAGCAGCCAGATGTAGGAGGGGGCGAAGGCACTCAGGATACCGAAGTAGCAGGTGAACAGCGAACATAGGATCAGCTCCTGGCAGACGAGACAGATGACACATTGAACACAGTACACATCACTGCACATTGTGTCAATAACATCCAAATACAGGATTTATGGCAGTGAGGCAAGATACACACAGGAAAAATAAACCTTCTGAAATGGATGAGAATTTTCTTTAGATATGGAAAATAGTGAAATAGTGAAGCAGGATTTCTGTCAGATTTTCTGTTAGGGAGGATTTGTATATTCATTAAGCACATTTTTCAGTTGATCATTGTCCAAAATACTGTAACTATACATATTTCTCACAAACCATGGGTAATGTCAAAGCCTAAGAGATTTTACTCAGTTTTGCTGGTCAAAGGTCTAGCATGGTTTTTGTACCTGCTGGATGCTACCCTCCAGTATGAGGACCACTTTTCAGACCAACCTTTCAGCCACAGTTACATGTGATAAACAAAGGATAAATAAAAAACACAAGGATCCTCCAACAAGGCTTCAATGATTAATAAATTCTCTTGACCTTTTCATTTTTTATCAAATATTTCAAAGTAGTGTATCTCTCTGTAATTCACATATTTCTAAGTGACTGATTTCTCCCTCCATTAATTTTTATGACACAGCTTGGAACAGATATAATGAAAGATATTCCCTGACATGTGAGCAAGTGCACAGTTGTTGAAATAATTCCCATTTATCCTTACAGATGACCGGGCTAATACCTGATAGATTATGCTGAAACATCTCAGGTTTGAATGGTGATAAATGATAACCCAACTGCAGAAATATGGAGTTTTGCACTTCAGATTAGAACAGCCATATCAGTGTTGAGTTTCAAGTTTCAGGCATTTTTCACACACAACAGTGTTCAATATATTCCCCACTGCCAAACCTCTGAACGTTTGATCACAATCCAACCCAACAGACCTGTTCAGAATGTGATATTGTACGTCATTGAATTAATGTGTCACCAAATTAATGCAAGTGACTACCCCGGCCTAAAATGAGTCATAAAATTCATGTCAACAGTTGTACCTTTGATGTGAAAAAACTACTAGTAATCTGCAAATCCCACAACCAAGACTGTTGGAGAGTCATCATACAGTATGTGTTTTACTGTGCCTGTGTTCTGTCCACATGGAGTCAACAACTGTGAGTAAGGGACACTTGCACATTATTCACAATGATAATAATTCTCACAATACTACCTCTAACAAATGATTGCCTTTTTTCCTGAAACTTGTTTCTGAATCCCCAGTTTTAGCAAGAATAAAATGTTTAAAGGTCACATGCAACCAAACAATTGAACATAATTAAAACACAATTATCACTTATTCATGACATATAATCTACATTGCTGGTTATGAAAAAACAAATAAACAAAATTATAAGCATACAATCGCAAATCAAAAGTGCAATATTGTGTACTTGGGTTTACTTCCCAAGAAATGAAGCAGCCGGGATACCAAACCCAGTCAGAGCGGGTGGGTGTGCACTCAAGTGTAACGGCTGTTTCATTTGCAGATGGCCCTCACGGCTCATTGTGTGTGTATATATAGAGATGTTGGGTTTTGTAAATACATGCTCATTTTTTGTGTATAACATTTTGCAATCAACAGACATCATAACATGTCATGTGTTCAAGTATCACACCTGCCTGTCTGTGTAATTACATAATGTGACAGAGACCTAACTCGGGCCATAAATCAATGCGTTTTGTTTATGGTGTATAGCCTGATTGGTGTTAAGTTCAAATTGCATGTGGTCAGTGATCGCAGTTGTGTATTGAATATTGTCATTAGCAGACAGGCAGGCAGACACACAGGTGTCAATAAAACAAGACATTGAGTTTTGTCTGTGACAACGACATATCTATATCACAGTTAGAAATTCTGTCAACGCTAAATAATGACATTGCTTTTAAGTATCGAACTGAGAAAGTGTCTCGGTAAGAAGAACGTGTGGTGAAATAGACAAATGAAATTATATAAACAGTTTATTTACTGTCATAACATATAAAAGCTTCGCTACTGTGAGATATCAACAAAACATTAGGAAAATAGCTCACACCAAAGCCTTCACAAAGTATCCACCGGACAGCCCGCCTTCAAGTTATTGCGAACCTATTTCACTGCACACGTGCTATGAGCGCAGCCCAGCTGTTGAAACCAGTTTTCCCCCGAAAAGTAGGGGGAAAATTAGTGAATCGTTTGAACTCCAATTTTGCGCGTTTTTTTTCATCGCGTTATTTTTCAACTTTATAAGTTGAATTTGCATTTTTGATGATTTTTTTTGGTAAGTCCATACCGAAAGGTATCAGAATCTGCAAAGTTGTGTTTTACGTTGCATGTGACCTTTAAACTAGAAGTTTTTGTGTTGTCTTTCTTCCTAGTGTCCCTATCCGTGGGAGGTATCTCCCTTATCAGGAGCACAGGAAAGCTTCACAGTTTTTCCTGGGGTACCTTTAATTAAGGTACTCCGGGATTTCTGGGAGGTGGATGGATGGGTTTCACCTCAAGGTAATTTTCTCTGAATAATCATCATTGTTGATAATGTTCAAAATTCTTACAAATACGTCATTTAAACACTTGCAGAATTCCCACATGCGGCTTGGTGGGCCCAGAGTAGTCCCAGTACTTGTAAGGAAGATTCTCTTAAAACATACTAAGTGAAAATGTTAACTGATAAGGCAATGAGTGGTTTTTGTGACAACACTTTGGAATTCTTTCTTCTTCTGAATTTGTTATGATGGTGGACTATGACGTCCTTTCCAGTTAATGCCTATTAATGGTACTTCTGATGACATGATGACATCACTTCCAGTTTATATCCTGTCTACTCAATTGTGAAAATGGAGTTGAATCACTGACTGGATATAATCCGTTAATTATTTTATAATGCATGATAAATGTCAAAATCAGTATAAAACGTGGTTTTCTGATCATGCAACTAACCACGACCATACACCTTTTTTTCACCCCGAAGGAGTCAAGTGAAAAAGGATAGAGTGGGTGACAGAAGGGACCCCACATCATGTAGTCCTTGTAGTTCCCGAGTAACATCCTGCACATAACATGATGTGAAGGTGTTAGAAGATGCACACTGGCTGCTTGACATGATACGTCCCAGCCAATGAGTCTTCCAAGATGCTACGGATGAAGCAAGTTCCTTTTATTTTGTCTGGAATAAGGGATCCATAAGTCGGAGTGAGTGAGAGTGAGTTTAGTTTTACACAGTGTCAAGATCACATGGTAGTTTGGTTTAACTGTATGACGTGTGTTACAGTGTGGTTGGACTGTAGTAGGTGAGTATCAGGGTGTGGGAATGGGTAGAAAGCATGCAAGGTGGTATGAAGAGGCTAGTGTGGCAAGAAAAGCATGCAAGGTGTGAGTTTTGATTATATTAGGCAGAGTGTAAGGGTTGGTGAGTGCAGTCATGGAAGTTGTCTGATGAAGATGGCTGTATTTGTAAGGTGGCTGGTCTGATTTCATGGCGTGAGTAGAATTTGTTTTATTGGATATTTATGTTTATCATCTTGCTTTGTAATTATTATTGTGGAGCTATGTAAATATGGGTATTTGTTAAATGATGATTATGTTATCATTTTGTCAATCCTCAAATGTTGTAGCAAGAAATATACTAAAATGTCAATTCTCACGATTTAGTTGCACGTACATTATTTTGCTGTCAGTTATGTGTGTTACATTGTGAAACAATGTTGTAATCAGATGTTTTATCAGCATATTCACTTGCCTGTATGTTGAATAACGTAAAAGTTGTTCTAAGTAAAATGTAATGCTGTGATATTCATCCTGTAAAGTATAATATCATTCTGAGTATGTAATGCTCTTAGTAGGTTGAATGATTGTTATCATTATGAGTTCGTAAAACTCGGTGTACATTGAATGATAAGTATATCAAATGTTGTTTTGATATTTGTATAGTGCCCGGGGCCTGTGCCGGACCGTATAAAAGGCAGTATCTGTGTGGTAACCTCGCCTTGTGTGTAAGAGGCAGATCAGTATGATGGCCTCGACCTGTAAAAGGTGGCGTCTGTGTAACCTCCTCATGTGACTGACCAGCGAAACATCGTCAGGATGGCTGACCGTGAGAGAGACTGAGGTTGTCATGACCTTATGCTATGTCTTTGACCTCCAGTGTGTGCAGCAGTGCTGAACTCGGGCTGATCAGTGGTGACTGAGAGTCGTGGTCCAACTTCAGCTGAGGATATGGTAGCTCATTATCCTGAGAACGGGGAGAGTGACATGGGCGGTGCTCCATGGGCTCCAGCCTAGCTCTCTTCAGTGGAGGTGGTATGTCCTCGCTGGGTCTCTCCTTAGATAGCGCTGAAATCTTAACTGCTATTCATTTAATGAGATCGCCAAACATCTTCAAAGCCGTTCAGATGAGACAGGGAGGACGATTAGCTCCCCTGAGTCCCCACTGATTGTCGAAGATTGTCAATTTCTCTTAAACTTTGGCTGGAATCATAGTGCGTAACTTGTTAGCCATCTTCTTCTACCCTTTCTTGATTACCAGAACATTCTCCTCAAATGCAACAGGGGATAAGGGCTATGATGTCTGACACTGGGAAACAAAGGATCATGGCGTATCTACACATTTCCAGAAGTTGTCATGTGAATCTTGAGAGGACTTAAGTTTCCCTTATCTCAACAATTATTTTGCCTAAGAGATAAATTTGTGCCCTTAGATTTACCCATTATATATTAGTTGTGTGACGATTCATTCATGCGCATTGATCCATGGGTCACCGATACAGTGAATCAATACAAAGTTTAACATTGTCGTATATCCCGATACGATACTTCAAATAGGCCACGATACATCAATGTTTAACTTTGATTATTGCCAAATCGTGATATCTGTCAAGGAAAAAAAGACTTACTTTTGTTTGATGACTAAATTATATACTTACTTATATTTCCTTTATAAGTAAACGTTTTCTTGGAAATTGTGTCAGACAGAGCTCTCGCTTGTTTTTAACATTTACAAAGTCTGCGTATAAACTTAATTATCTCGTTTCCGAATGAACATTAAACAACGCTGGCAGAATTTGATGAAATACTTTTAAAATGGTTTTGTTTTGATCTTAAGGTGTTTATGAGTTGGGGTTAAAGAGTTTTAGTATCGTGCTACGTATCGTATCGCCACCCTTATATCGGGATTCGTATCGTATCACAGCTTCAGAGCACAATATGCAACCAGTCGTTGACCCAGTTCCTGGAGGTTGATGGCAGGGACGTGATAAGCTCGAATTCTTCGTCCTAACTCATCCCAGGCATGCTCAATTGGTGACAAGTCTGGTGAATAAGCAGGCCACACCATGTGCTGAACGTTCTGCTGCTGCAGAAAGTCTGTCACCACCCTGGCACGATGGGGTCTAGCGTTATCATCCTGGAACCAGGCCCCTGGTCCAAGTTGACGAAGAAGTGGCATTACCAGAGGTTGGATAATCTCGTTGAGATATCGAAAACTAGTCAAATTCCCATTGACGATGTAGAGAGCAGTTCTGTGGTGCACTGAGATACCCCGCCCAGACCATCACACTTCCGCCTCCGAAAGGTAAACGTTGGGCAACGTTTACGTCAGCATACCTCTCTCGTTGACGACGATAAACACGGGCACGGCCATCATTAAACTGGAGTGTGAAGGGGGATTCATTAGCAAAGATTGTCTGTGCCCACTGACCACGGTTCCAACGAACATGCCGTCGGCACCAATCTCGGCGAGCTCTTCTGTACCGCTCAAGTAGTGGTGGTCGTACTGCAGGACGTCGAGAACGCAAACCTCAGACACGTAGACGATTTCGAACTGTCTGATCGGATACGTTGGTGCCACGGCCAGCTCTCAGCTGATCCTGAAGATGTCTTGTGGTTACAAATCGCTGTCGCAAAGCCATCATCATCAAGTAGCGATCATCACGGGCTGTTGTTGATCGAGGTCTTCCGGAACGGGGGGTCGATCCTGGACAGCATTTGTTGTCCTGAACCCCTGCCATAGTCACCCGATAACACTCTGGCTTACATTTAGTCGCCTAGCAACACTTCGTTGGGTTTGACCATCTTCAAGCCACCCTATTGCCCTTCCTCTGTCTTGGACGCTGAGCTGTCGTCTGACCATCTTCAAATTTCAAATGAGGCCGATTTGAAAATGCTTGGTCTTTTCATTGTGAAAATGTGCATGCATAAAATGACATCCATGGAAAGCACGTGTAAAATGTGCATTAGGTGGCATAATGGTTGTTTCGAAGACGAGGGTCAGTTTAGTGTGGCCGAGTTCATGGTTCAAATCAAGAAATCCTAATTTACTGTTAAATTGAAAAGTTACCTAAGGGAACGGGTAATGATAACATTTCTCCTAACCTTATGATGTCTTCAGTCCAAATAACACCCATTCAGAAAGTTTTCTGTCCTAATAGTCTCCAAATGGCCTATTCTGATTTTGATGTGCACATTTCGTTTGACCCGTAACTTCTTTTGAGTAGTATATATAGAGAATAGCCAAACCTTAGAACATTCCAGTCAACATATGCATGCATCTGAGCCACTCTAAGTTATGAGGTTTTCCTGCACTTCCCACAGGGAAGATAACTCCCACAGATAGCACTTGGAGGACCACTAGGAAGAAAGACAACACAAAACCTTGGACTGTATAAAACATGTTCAAGCTATACCTGTGGATTCAGAAACAATTTTCAGGAACAAAAGCAATCAAGAGTTAGAAAGTTGTATTCGTGAGAATTTCACACTATTTGCATTGATTTTTATGACATACGTTTTTTACATTATAGATTGTTGGCCTGTGTACTCACTGTCTTCCTGCCATACTTGTCACACATGCTGCCCCATATGCTGGAACTGGCCATCATCCCGGCAAACACAACCTGCAAACACATAACACTGTCTGTCACATGCCTCTTACATACTATGGCTAAAACCATGCATTACTGCACTGCTATATCAATCACACTCTCTGTCACATGCCACTTACACACTATGGCTAAAACCATGCATTACTGCACTGCTATATCAATCACACTCTCTGTCACATGCCACTTACATACTATGGCTAAAACCATACATTACTGTACTGCTATATGAATCACACTCTCTGTCACATGCCACTTACACACTATGGCTAAAACCATGCATTACTGCACTGCTATATCAATCACACTCTCTGTCACATGCCTATATCAATCACACTCTCTGTCACATGCCACTTACATACTTTGGCTAAAACCATGCATTACTGCACTGCTATATCAATTACACTCTCTGTCACATGCCACTTACACACTATGGCTAAAACCATGCATTACTGCACTGCTATATCAATCACACTCTCTGTCACATGCCACTTACATACTTTGGCTAAAACCATGCATTACTGCACTGCTATCTATATCAGTCACACTCTCTGTCACATGCCACTTACACACTATGGCTAAAACCATGCATTACTGCACTGCTATATCACCAGCAAATCTGCTACTAACAATGAATTAACATAGCCATTAAAACCATTTCATGACATCCCGTTATTTATAGTGTAACATGTGTAAACAAGATATACAGACAGACAAACAGACAAGTTTATTCAGTAAAAGGCCACAGGCCCATCATACAGTCATTTGCATATGATATAAATAGTTTAGTGCACATGCTGTGTAAGAGCATACAAGATATACATTTAACATCAACTCATAGGGAAACAAGTCAGTTTTATAGTCAGTTTCCAGTATATCAAGTTAAGGATACACTCACCCCATTTTGCTAATATAATGCAGTTAAGGTGAATATTGCTTTTTGCCAAATGCCCAGTATGCTATTACTTACTGTTGTGATGAGAGCTTCTTGCCAACCCTCTAGCTGCCACTCACAGTGCAAGGCAGGAGACAGAATTGCCAGGATCATCATCTCCATGGCGTCCGCCATCTGAAAGTCATACAAAGACATCAAGGATCTGCAATCAATACCATCAAAAAACCATTACCTCTGAAGTGGAACCTTGGATTAACACAATCGGAATTCCAGGATAATGTCTAGTGAAATATTACTCCACAATGGCCAGACTCTTTAGATCCTCCAGTTACCCAAATCATGACTGAATGAATCACCAGGACATTACTGTAAACCAACCATGAATACTGTCAACTATAACAAATTCTTCAGTTACACCAGCCATCTTTGTCTGCATCGTTAACAAATCCTTCAGTTACCCCAAACATTGATGAAATGATCATCAAACAAATTATTTAGTTTCCCCAGTAATGATGGCCTGATCCTCAGCAGATTCTTCAGTTACCCCAATGAACTGATCCTCAAGCAAATCTCTCATATACCTCAACCTTGATGGCCTGATCCTCCAGCAGATTCTTCAGTTATCCCAATGAACTGATCCTCCAGAAGATCTCTCATACACCCCAACCTTGATGGCCTGATCCTCCAGTAGATTCCCCAGTTATCCCAATGAACCTATCCTCAAGCAAACCTCTCATATACCTCAACCTTGATGGCCTGATCATCCAGCAGATTCTTCAGTTATTCCAATGAACTGATCCTCCAGCAGATCTCTCATACACCCCAACCTTGATGGAATGTCATCCTCCAATAGATTCTTCAGTTACCCCAATGAACTGATTCTCAAGCAGATCTCATATACAACCAGATTCTTCAGTTTCCCCAATCAAAATGACCTGACGCTCCAACAGATTCTTTAGTTACTCAAACATTGATGGCTTGATCTTCAAGCAGATCTATCATACATTCCAATCTCAATGGCATAATTGTCTAGAAAATCCTTATGTTTTCCCAAGCATGATGGCCTGTCTTCCAGAGATGCATTTGTAACGAATACCAGAACAGCTGGGCTGTTTCAATACATTCCTACAGTACTGAAACATACGATGACTATAGAACACATAACTCACCCAAGCAAATCCTGTGAGAATAGAGAGCTTAACTTGGAACTTGCCAAAACCAATGTTGTCAATGGCTTGTTGTATGGTGAAGGTTTCTGAAATGAACAGTAATATGAATTTTACTTAAAGTTTACAATATTCAAGTTTCAAAATATTTCTTGGAATGTGTAATAAAAGGAATCTACATTAAAGAAGGTGTTGTGATGAGGGCCCCTTTTTTCGCCCCCACATGGTATGTCACTAAGAATTATTCCAAATCCATCTGGCTTTGTCAAAGTTGCCATCCATGTTTGACTAAAGTGATATTGACTGAGACTTCATCAGTCTTTCATGAGGAACTAAACAAATGCACAATAGCTGAGCCTAGAAATATGGCAGTCATGACAGCAAAGGTGCTTACTTGCCACTAACCTAAAGCACAATTTTTGTAAATAAAATTGACCAAGCTCTTTCTAAAACCATAAGAAATCGGCACTAGAAGCCGTTTCCACTATACAATTCTGACTATATCGTAAGCATGTTTCATGAAACCAGGTATACAGGAAAAGGTGTGTGTATGCTAGTGTTGGGAATCGGTTGAAATCTCACAATTGATGATTGCTTCATTACCAACGAACAATCATCGGAAAAAATTGATTAGTTGCATTTTTCAGATTTTCCTATCCAGGTTGTTATTGCAGATATGTATTACATGATGCAACTTGCTACTTTAAAGTGATGACTAATATATCATGAACATAAACTTCCTGGAGTCTTAGAGAAAAATTCAGTCATGACTTTTCAGATAGTGAAGTGAGTTTTCTAAGAATCAAATAAGTTTTCAGGCCCTGACAACTTCAAAGATATGTTCTATCGTCAAGTATTTCAAAGACTAAAACAGCAGTTCCAAAATCGTTTGTGTTCGATTATGAGAAAATGTGACTGATTGCTTGGTCGTTTGGTCACTGCAACCAATCTTCGATTATTTCAATTAATCGGAACACAACAAGTGTATGCTGCTGCCCCACAGATGGCACACACAAAAACACAAGGAAGGTCAATGTTTATCTGACAAGACACAGGGACCTACGGTAGAACTCTAATAGGAAACTGCATTGTCAGCACTTAATGATAATTAATCAAGGTTTGGAGATTATCACTGATGCTGAATGTATTTATATGGTTTGACTACTGTATATGTTTTGAGTTCACAGCATCAGAATCAAGGTACAAAGTGGGGCCAGAATAAAAGCTCCAGGGACTTCCTGGCAGTGGCAGGTGAGCCAAGGCCATTATGTCAGGAAGGTGATATGAGATGGGCTACAATCTTTCAATGAATTCAAGCACTGAAATATCTGTTCCTTAGATTGCCATTTTATTCCAGTAGTCAGTATGCATGCAGTATGTTAAGGCATCACATGTGAATATTACAATCCACTATGTTCCAATGTACAAGTCCCTGTGAACACTACAATGAAGGCAAACAATTGGGATGTATGCCACAGGGTTTGTCTTTCACAGCAATTCATATGTCCCCTGCACTACCATTACCCAGTAATCAGCCAGCTTTATTCAGTATGGCCACAGCCACTTCTTGTTAGTCCTGTGATGCAGCAACCCAAGTGTCTAACCACTACATGTCTGTCTGAGCACATTTGGAATATCTTTTATGCCACCTGCTGCACAGAACCTAAATGAACTGGAGGTCCACGATGAACCCAAATCATAAATTCCAGTTGGTTTGAGCTCAATTTTGAGTATTTGTGCAACAGCAGGCCACACATATTCTGACTCTTATAAAACTAACTTGCTAATATTCGATCAAGAAATATTTATTAAATTTTTTATGGAGTATAGAAGAACAGACAGCTACATGCCTCCCTGAACATTTCTTTTAAACATTGTGTATAACATATTATTGGATAAAAACCCAAATATGATAAAAATAATATGATATATGTCAAATTGGATATTGAATGAACATAAATATGGCAAATTTTGAATTAATATCCATGTATTTATGTTAAAGACTGCGACAGGTTTTCGCCTACTTAATATGGAACCATTTTGTTGCATCTGATGTTGATCAGTACTTTCAAGAGGCACTGTATCGTGTAATAGGCGCCTGACGTCTCTGTTACATGCCCAGTGACAGTAGGACAAAGTTGATATATATGGCAAAGGTTAGATGGGTACTGTGAAGCCTTGTGTTGTGCTCTCCCTCTTATAGCCTGTACAATATTCCTTCCCTACTTCTCCTATATTCCTTGCCTACTTCTCCTATAGGGTTCCCTGCCTGATTAGTTTCTATTTATAGACAACACAAAAATTAAGTTTCAATTAATTTCAATACAAACAAAAAAGGAAGGGGCAAACCTGTCTGTGAAAACCCTACACACACATGACCACACATGACTACACATGTATATCTACAAACCACATCAACAAAAACACATTATCAAGCCAGACCTTCAAGAAGAAATCAAGTCGTCCAAACCAGTTTAATTGATGATATCAGTTTGGATTGATGTTTCTGAAGACATTCACAGACAGATCCAATGGAACATATAAGGCTTGAGGGGATCAACCCACACAGCTGTTAACATGTTCCAGTGTGACACGGTGAGGGATCAACCCACAGCTGTTAACATGTTAACATGTTCCAGTGTTACACAGGTGACACTTGTGAGGGGATCAACCCACAGACCTTCATGAAGCTGGTGAATGTAAAGGTCAAAAACACATCCCTAATGTAGCATATACCCCTGTGTGGCCTTACCAGGAGACTGAAATGGACCAACACAAGGACAGGACCTGGAAGCTTAATGTATCTGGTGCTTGAATGTGTATACAGGTATCCAGTTGTAGACATGTGGCAATGAGATCCAGAAGTAGGGTACCCCAAAATTTGGGGAGGGGGGTTAGTTCATCACACAAATGTTGAAATCTATTGAAAAGCCTGGGCGACACATCCTCATAGCCCTGTGCTGTAAGATTACCATGGATTATATGAAGATCACTCCTGACTTGTGCATTTATTGCTCCCCCTAAAATAACACTTCCAGTGCCAAATCAAGTCTGAAACTGCCTTGAACAGTTCTTCAGCAAACAGATTTCTCTACATTAATCTAAAGACCATGACCAAGTGATCTATACATAAAGAATTCATAAAATAGGTTACACAGTATGTGAACATAAATTTCTTCATTCTTTATATCACTAATGTTTCCACCACCCACTCTCTTGCTGGTTGAGAATGGAGATGATGAACATCAACATGGATGGCCAAAGTTCGGTGTGAAAGACACAGGTCATCTATAAAGTCTTAAAGCCCATAATTGTTATCTTTCCCCTGTGTCTGTTGGGGCATCTGAAACTAATATTTTATCAAGAGAAGTATATTCTGGTCTTTTGTTATCTTAATTTAATGGTTTTAATCTATAAATTTGAAAAAATTACAATAATTCTAAGAACTCATTCTAAACCAGAAAGTAAGTTTTGGTATCATTTAATTAAAATGTAAATTGATAAAATATTGTTGATATATAGTGTATTGTTTTCCATAATATGGAATGTTTTTGTTCAGAAACGTATGTGTACTTATAATCAGTGTTACTCAATATTAGTTTATCATATTGTTTATTGTATTGTAAACAGAAATAAGCTCAGTGTCATAGGCAGTACAGATGTATACATACTACCCATCAAAAGACTCACTGAAAGCACTCACTATATGTTATGTGTATATATGTGGTTACATCGAAGATGAATTTCTCCACTAACGGGTGGAACCAACTGCAAACCTTATGCAGATGAATTGCATGAAGATCATGCATCAAATTGCTGAAAATGTAAGCAAATATTGTGCATGTGAACAGCTGCGTTTTGGTGTAAAGTTTTGTTAAGAATTCGACAATTTTCACTGAGTTTCATCATTTATTGAACTCATGACAATAATCTTACGAATTTGTTTTATAATACATCGGTTCATGTGTAAACAGTATATTTAAACAGTATGGAATATTTTGCAAAATCTAGTTAGAACAGTTGTCTGAAGTAAGTGGCTACATTTACACTAGTGAATCTAAACTTTTGATGGGAAGTATAGTTGAGTCCATCATTATGCTACTCACGAGACTGACCCATGACTGCATGTCTAAAGGTAGCATGCAAAAAATGTATTTAAATAAATGCAAACAAAATACAAAATTAATATTTGGCTCATGGCTTTCCTTATAAATGTATTCATTAGTGTTCACAGAAACACACCCCATCCTATAAACCTGCAGCCTCACAAAAAACATGTTGATGCCTGGTATCCTTCCACAATGATAATGTAAAGAAACTAAAACACATTACAATTTTGGAATAATGAGACTTGTTTTCTTTTCAGATTCAGACAGGAGTCAAGTCTGATTGGTCAATTGCATGTGACCAGTACTGCTTAGTGTGGCATTAAACAAACCAATCCACCGACAATATGCAGTGGCATTATGGCATTCAGCAATTCCACACTGTATCATCACAGACCCAAATCGTCATGCTTCCACAGGTTGATGTTTGTTAGGATGCCTCCAGACACATACATGCCTTTCCAGTGAAACAAGAGAATCTGCTCTCATCTGAAAGTATCACACTAGGCCATAAGCAATTCCCTGCTTTTCTACATGCTAAGAACCATGGGGGTCTGCTTAAATTTGTTAACGGTGCAACAAGTGGTCGCTGTGTAGCAGATTGGCTACATGCATAGGACTTGTAATCAATCCTGAACTTGTATTTCTGTGTTGCCGTACTTGCTGGGTAGATGTGACAATGTTTCTGTGTTGCCGTACTTGCTGGGTAGATGTGACAATGTTTCTGTGTTGTAGTACTTCCTGGGTAGATGTTACAATGTTTCTGTGTTGTAGTACTTCCTGGGTAGATGTTACAATGTTTCTGTGTTGCCGTACTTGCTGGGTAGATGTGACAATGTTTCAGTGTTGTAGTACTTCCTGGGTAGATGTTACAATGTTTCTGTGTTGTAGTACTTCCTGGGTAGATGTTACAATGTTTCTGTGTTGCCGTACTTGCTGGGTAGATGTTACAATGTTTCTGTGTTGTCGTACTTGCTGGGTAGATGTGACAATGTTTCTGTGTTGCCGTACTTCCTGGGTAGATTTTACAATGTTTCTGTGTTGTAGTACTTCCTGGGTAGATGTTACAATGTTTCTGTGTTGTAGTACTTGCTGGGTAAAAACTAAGATGTTACAATGTTTCTGTGTTGCTGTACTTCCTGGGTAGATGTTACAATGTTCCTGTGTTGCCGTACTTACTGGGTAGATGTTACAATGTTTCTGTGTTGCCGTACTTCCTGGGTAGATGTGACAATGTTTCTTTGTTGCCGTACTTCCTGGGTAGATGTTACAATGTTTCTGTGTTGCCGTACTTACTGGGTAGATGTTACAATGTTTCTGTGTTGCTGTACTTGCTGGGTAGATTTCACAATGTTTCTGTGTTGCCGTACTTCCTGGGGAGATGTTACAATGTTTCTGTGTTGCCGTACTCCCAGGGTAGATGTTACAATGTTTCTGTGTTGCCGTACTTCCTGGGTAGATGTTACAATGTTTCTGTGTTGCTGTACTTGCTGGGTAGATGTTACAATGTTTCTGTGTTGCCTTACTTCCTGGGTAGATGTTACAATGTTTCTGTGTTGTAGCACTTCCTGGGTAGATGTTACAATGTTTGTGTTGCCGTACTTCCTGGGTAGATGTTACAATGTTTCTGTGTTCCTGTACTTGCTGGGTAGATGTTACAATGTTTCTGTGTTGCCGTACTTCCTGGGTAGATGTTACAATGTTTCTGTGTTGTAGCACTTCCTGGGTAGATGTTACAATGTTTCTGTGTTGCTGTACTTGCTGGGTAGATGTTACAATGTTTCTGTGTTGTAGCACTTCCTGGGTAGATGTTACAATGTTCCTGTGTTGCCGTACTTCCTGGGTAGATGTTACAATGTTTCTGTGCTGCTGTACTTCCTGGGTAGATGTTACAATGTTCCTGTGTTGCCGTCCTTGCTGGGTAGATGTTACAATGTTTCTGTGTTGCCATACTTCCTAGGTAGATGTTACAATGTTCCTGTGTTGCCGTCCTTGCTGGGTAGATGTTACAATGTTCCTGTGTTACCGTACTTGCTGGGTAGATGTTACAATGTTCCTGTGTTACCGTACTTGCTGGGTAGATGTTACAATGTTCCTGTGTTGCCGTACTTGCTGGGTAGATGTTACAATGTTTCTGTGTTGCCATACTTCCTAGGTAGATGTTACAATGTTTCTGTGTTGCCGTACTTGCTGGGTAGATGTTACAATGTTTCTGTGTTGCCGTACTTCCTGGGTAGATGTAACAATGTTTCTGTGTTGCCGTATTTCCTGGGTAGATGTTACAATATTTCTGTGTTACCGTACTTCCTGCGTAGATGTTACATTGTTTCTGTGTTGCCGTACTTCCTGGGTAGATGTTACATTGTTTCTGTGTTGCTGCACTTCCTGGGTAGATGTTACAATGTTTCTGTGTTGTAGTACTTCTTGGGTAGATGTTACAATGTTCCTGTGTTACCGTACTTGCTGGGTAGATGTTACAATGTTTCTGTGTTACCGTACTTGCTGGGTAGATGCTACAATGTTTCTGTGTTGCCCGTACTTGCTGGGTAGATGTTACAATGTTTCTGTGTTGCCGATGTGCTTCCTGGGTAGATGTTACAATGTTTCTGTGTTGCCTTACTGTAGATGTTACAATGTTTCTGTGTTGCTGTACTTGCTGGGTAGATTTACAATGTTTCTGTGTTGCCTGTAGATGTTACTTCCTGGTTGCGTGCTCCCAGTAGATGTTACTTCCTGGGTAGATGTTACAATGTTTCTGTGTTGCACTTCCTGTACAATGTTCCTTCCTGGGTAGATGTTACAATTTTCCTGGGTAGATGTTACAATGTTTCTGTGTTACCTGTGTTACCGTGCCTGCTGGGTAATGTTTCCTGTGTTGCCGCTTGCTGGGTTACTTCCTACTTCCCTAGGTAGATGTTACAATTCCTGTGGGTTGCAGTGTTTCTGTGTTGCATTACTTCCTGCTGTTACAATGTTTCTGTTACATTGTTTCTGTGTTGCTGTCAGATGTTACAATGTTTCTGTGTTGCACTTCCTGGGTAGATGTTACATTGTTTCTGTGTTGCTGCACTTTTCCTGTACTTTTCCTGGGTAGATGTTACAATGTTTCTGTGTTGTAGTACTTCCTGGGTAGATGTTACAATGTTCCTGTGTTACCGTACTTGCTGGGTAGATGTTACAATGTTTCTGTGTTACCGTACTTGCTGGGTAGATGCTACAATGTTCCTGTGTTGCCGTACTTGCTGGGTAGATGTTACAATGTTCCTGTGTTACCGTACTTGCTGGGTAGATGTTACAATGTTCCTGTGTTGCCGTACTTGCTGGGTAGATGTTACAATGTTTCTGTGTTGCCGTACTTCCTGGGTAGATGTTACAATGTTTCTGTGTTGCCGTACTTCCTGGGTAGATGTTACAATGTTTCTGTGTTGCCGTATTTCCTGGGTAGATGTTACAATATTTCTGTGTTACCGTACTTCCAGCGTAGATGTTACATTGTTTCTGTGTTGCCGTACTTCCTGGGTAGATGTTACATTGTTTCTGTGTTGCTGCACTTCCTGGGTAGATGTTACAATGTTTCTGTGTTGTAGTACTTCCTGGGTAGATGTTACAATGTTCCTGTGTTACCGTACTTGCTGGGTAGATGTTACAATGTTTCTGTGTTACCGTACTTGCTGGGTAGATGCTACAATGTTCCTGTGTTGCCGTACTTGCTGGGTAGATGTTACAATGTTCTGGGTTAGACTGCTGGGTAGATGTTACAATGTTCCTGTGTTGCCGTACTTGCTGGGTAGATGTTACAATGTTTCTGTGTTGCCGTACTTCCTGGGTAGATGTTACAATGTTTCTGTGTTGCGGACTTCCTGGGTAGATGTTACAATGTTCCTGTGTTACCGTACTTGCTGGGTAGATGTTACAATGTTCCTGTGTTGCCGTACTTGCTGGGTAGATGTTACAATGTTTCTGTGTTGCCGTACTTGCTGGGTAGATGTTCCAATGTTTCTGTGTTGCCGGACATCCTGGGTAGATGTTACAATGTTTCTGTGTTGTAGTACTTGCTGGGTAGATGTTACAATGTTTCTGTGTTGCCGTACTTCCTGGGTAGATGTTACAATGTTTTTGTGTTGCTGTATCAGCTTGGTAGATGTTGGAACAGCTGTCAAGCAAATGATCAGGCAACAATAAGCAATTTACCATTTACAATTTACTTCCTGTGTTGCCGTACTTGCTGGGTAGATGTTACAATGTTCCTGTGTTACCGTACTTGCTGGGTAGATGTTACAATGTTTCTGTGTTGCCATACTTCCTAGGTAGATGTTACAATGTTTCTGTGTTGCCGTACTTGCTGGGTAGATGTTACAATGTTCCTGTGTTACTGTACTTGCTGGGTAGATGTTACAATGTTCCTGTGTTACCGTACTTGCTGGGTAGATGTTACAATGTTCCTGTGTTGCCGGACTTCCTGGGTAGTTGTTACAATGTTTCTGTGTTGTAGTACTTCCTGGGTAGATGTTACAATGTTTCTGTGTTGCCGTACTTCCTGGGTAGATGTTACAATGTTTTTGTGTTGCTGTATCAGCTTGGTAGATGTTGGAACAGCTGTGAAGCAAATGATCATGCAACAATAAGCAATTTACCATTTACAATTTACTTTACCAAATTATATCACAATAAATATTCATGAACAGATTGCAGGGAATGAGTTAGAACAAAATCATTACCTTACTGATACATTAAAAATGATGCAATGTGACAGCTTTGCCAAACCAGTGCACAACACCTGCTTGCTGCACATTCAGTGATGGCAAATATCTCTTAGCAAGGATTCCATTCCAAGGACTGTGATGGGCCTTATGTATATGGCAATGACTTTACAATATATTTCAATTTATTTACAAAAAAATAAATTATGCTCGTCAACTCAGATTAGGGTCAGAAAATATTTTGAACACTTGATTACTTAGATGTAAACGAGCTGTATTTATTTCATCTATAATTTCTATATATTCAAGTGGATTTGGAAAATAATATACTATCATACTCTTATACAAGGCACTTATGTCAGTCATTATTGCTATGCATTTGCTATAATTACAAACTTGTACAATTATACTGTTTCAGTACCATGTAAAAGATAAACATTTGTGAGCATGATAAACATTGAAAAACAGAGTATATTTCAAGATTCAGAGACAACAGAAAGTTGAAAATTTGGCACATGTCTATTTCCCACTGCAACTGTGATGTCATATATTTTGGAGTCACAAGAAGCCAAGTTGCATCACAATTAACATGTTTTTCATAGAACTACACCTTTACAAGGCTTGCATAATTTTCTTCAGGGATGCCCAGGCAGGCTTACAAAACAGCTTTGCGAAACACTTTCATTGTGCCTCTCATTCTGTGAAAAGTTGAAATGAGATATGCAGTACTGTTTGTTACCCAATATAAACCAGGTAACATGTAAC